TTTATAAAAGTTCCTCAAGTCTGCCTATAATTCAAAATACTAAATAGACTGAATTATTAATTTTTAAATTAATAGTTTAGACTTTAAACATATCGTAAAAGATTTTTGCCTGTTAATTTTTTTGAAAATGAGTTGATTTGCATATTTAATTGAGGCCTACGGTAGGAATCGACTGTTTTAAAATATTAATGTATTCTTTTTTTCATCTTTAATGACCGAAACCCGGACTTCAATAAAAGTTTTTTTGGATCTCTTGACTTAAAGGGACCACTGCCGATAACAGTATGAAAAGGCCCCATAACAGGTTTTCATAAGTTTTTTAATTGATTAAAATGAAAACGAAAAATTAGTAGATTGAAGGGTACATAGTAATAAAAATCTGTCAAGTAAAACTGCAACACCTCTATGAATAACTACAATAAAATAATTTCAAATCAATGTTTTCAGGTCACGATGTTTTTCAACACAGTATTTCGATGGCTGCTTAGAAACGCTGATTCGAACCGATGAAAAGGAAGAATTCGCAAGGATGATTGATTATATCGGCAAGAAGAAGCGAATGGAATAAGTAACCAACAAACATCAACAATTGAACGTATCCTACTATTCTAGTCATTTTTATTAATCTCGCAAGTGATTATATATTTAATTTACTTACAAACTGTAGCTCGTTTTGGTCAAACTTTTGCCTTCAATTGACATACACGTTAGATATTTAATATTAAACTTAATATCGTCACACTTTAGCCAAAGAACTAACTCATTATATCTAGAAATACCGGTGTCTTTATCGATCAAATTTCGTCCTTTGACTTTTTAAAAAATGTACCCATTACAATCCAAGCCTTTCGTATGGGTGACAAAAAATACTTACAATCCAATTACCTAAAATGACTAATTTGTATATTATTAATTAATGTATTGCTGCATGCTTTTTGAAGACAGAAGTTTCGAAAAAATTACCAAAACTCTATCTAAGTATTATTATTTAGAGAAAATATTCACATACACCAGCAGATCACACAGTACCCTCTATATACAGCTTGTCACACACGCCTTATCATATTAGAGATAGGACATAACCTNCAAATGTAAAAAACAAAATTGTATTAATTTTTATATCAAAGAGACAAATACAAAAATAACAAAACAATTAATAATATTCCAGGTATAAATAGTCCGGCGGAGTTGTGATTAGTAAACAAAAATGGTTGTATTGGAAAAATTATTCATTAAAGGTATAGACAACTAAAAAACTTTCAATTTTGCATTTCAATAGTTATTGCAAAAAAATGACTGAAAATTACTATTTTTTTACAACTTCAATGTTCATTGCAAAAATAACATTTTTTCATATTTTTAAATAAAGAGTTATGACAAAGCCCTTTTAGTTCTAAATCGAATGAAATTTTGTAGAACCCAAGACGTCAAATGTTTATTACTCTGGATTTTTTAGAAAAGGCAAAGACTTTCTCAACTAGAATTATCTTCTTGATTATTTATACTTGCATCTTCTATTGAAAAATAATGCCTCCCGTACATCGTGTGCATTTCTAATTTGTATGTAAACATTGAAGACTGCCATTAAAACGAAGATAAAAAAAAAAGAAAATGATTTTCCATGACCAATAGAAGTTGGAATTATTTTAAGAAATCATAGCCGCCTTAATTATAACAATTATTAAGAAATAAATTTGGCATTTGATAGTCGATTAAGATTTAAAAGGACTTCATAATAATAATCCCTTAAAAATATGTAAAAGGTTATTTTTGCATTAAACTTTATCAACAATATAAGTAAGAAATTTACTCAGTCAGGATTGTTTAGGTTGTGACAGGTGTGAAGAATAATAAAGTCAATTCTCCTCTAATATCTAGGAATTTTTGGGATGTACCAGGTCTGTTCAAAAAGTATCGTTTCAAAGTAAACGTTACGAGATATTATACACTTGTACCAACTTTTTTTTCAATCCTCAAAGTACTTCAAAAAATAATTTTTTGTAATCTTCTTCGGCTCCTCCTTCAATGCCGTCTTTATCTCCTCAATCGTAGCGTGGCGTCGTCCTATCATGGGCCTCTTCAGTTTCGGGAACAAGAAAAAGTCACAGGGAGCCAGATTAGTGTTGTTTTTAGCCAAAAATTCGCACACATGCAACGTTGTGTGAGCAGGGGCGTTATCATGGTGCAAAAGCCAATTTTTGTTCTTTCACAAATCCGCGGAAATTCAAAATACGCAATACTTTTTGAATAGACCTCGTACACCACGTCGTATGAATGCGACTCGTTACTTTTGGTTATTGTTTTAGAAAGTTTTTAAAGTTGCATAATATCTGTTTTTTCAAGTGTTTTTATTCTATAGCCCGACAGGACGATAGGTTACATTGAAAATGGTTTTGCAATTAATTGTAGACAATTCTAAAGCCTTCAATTTGTGCCGTGATGAATCCAATTTTGTCAAAAAATTATTGTTATAATTGTAATGGTGATGGCTTTTTAAAAAAATTATCAACACTTTAAATTTCTATAACAATGAAGCAATCCTTTCTGGAAGCTATAAACAAGGGGTTAAAACTTTTTTGACATTGTTTTTTGTTATAATATGAGAATGGAAGTCTTCAAGAAGAGACATTTAAACGAAGTCTGCTTTTTTTAAAAAAAAAATCTAGATCAATAACATTTGCGAAAAATTAAAATTTCAGCAACAAATTGACCAATCGGGTTCTGCAAATTGCACTAGAGCTTCTATAGGGTTGTTCGGAAAGTCATTTCGTTTTTTTTTTTGTGGAAATGAAAGACAGTTTTCGTATAATAAACAAATACTTTATTAAATTATATATTGACCGTTCTGGTCCAACACCTTTTGCCATCTTTCTGGTAGTAGCATAATTCCACGCTCATAAA